TGGCGTGGGCTGGTCCATGAGGTCACGAAGAGTCGGAGACGACTGAACGAATGAACAACAACAACTTGACTCCCTCTGCATCCTAGAAATACAAGAGTAGGTAGGAGTATGACAAGATTATGACTCCTGTTTAATTCTTCAAATGGGAATATATTCCTGAGCTCGGGATCCTTGAGTTCTAAAGGTGCATCTGTTGTGCCAGAATGTAGTTTGTATTTTGTGCGGCACGTTTATTATATTTCCAACCTGCCTTTCCTTTCGTGGACTGCATAGAGCTTGCATTCATCCCATTTCTGGAACATGTTAAGTAAAAAAGATAAGGCCTGAAAAAGAAGAAAAAACAAAGTGTAAACACCCAAATGTGAAGTCTGTTCACTCCTGGATGGCGTTCTTGGGCATTGAGAGCTCTGTACTAACTTGTGTATTCAGTACTTTATTGCTTGAGGTTAGCCAACTTTAACTTAGCAGTTTCCAGATGCCCTGGATCACAGCTTCCCTTGACTGCACTTGTTGGCCATGAGAAATCTAGTCTGAAACATCTGGATTGAGAAGCCTGGGTTCAATTCCAATGATGTGACAAAGCTATGGCACCAACGATGGCGTCTTCCTTTGTTGTCTTAACTCTGTCCCTGATGCCTTTCCACAGATGCTGCGGGCAACTTCCTCTGTCCGGCCAGCGCTCTGTCTTTCAACGGTTACAAAACAGTGATTGAGATCGACACCTTGGGAACGTTCAACGTCTCCAAAGTCCTGTATGAAAAGTGCCTCCGCGTACGTTTGCCATTGATACCTTTTGAACCTTAAGAATGTTTTTATTTATTTATTTATTTATTTATTTGCTGCATTTATTGACCGCCGCTCTCAGCCCTAGGGCGACTCGCGGCGGTGCACAACATATAAAAACAGTTTACAAAAGGGCAAAACAGGAAATCAATACAACAATAATACACTATAATCTAGTTACACTAAATAATCCTCTCCGTCACATCATAGAATCATAACCAATATCGTAATCCGTATTCCATTCCAGTTGTCAATTACCAGTTGCCGTAGCGCTCAGTTGAATGCCTTCTCAAATAGCCAGGTCTTCAGGCTCTTACGGAAGGACAGAAGGGAGGGCGCCTGTCTGATGTCAGCAGGGAGGTCGTTCCACAGCCGGGGAAATTTACATTTTTTAATCTGTTTCCAGTGGAACAAAGTGCATCAGGCACTTTCAGAGAAAGAAGTAGACACACAAGCCCAATATTGGTTTTATAATAACTATATTGGTTACACAGACAAAAGGAGGAACATTCACATATAGTTTTAACATTCACTCCTAATCCATTCATTCGTCATTCATGTGTACCGTCCTCCTTCATTAAGTTGATCAGCTTTTTGAGAGGATGCCACAGCTATTCAGAATGGTGTTCCTCCAGGTCTGATACACTTTTTCTTAGAGAAAATGGTGTTTTTATGTAGCATTTTGCTGTTGTGGTTCTAAATTGATTGACAACTTCTTATTCGGCTAAAACTTGCTGAAATCTTCGGACAGATGTTATTTTTCTTCCTTAACGTAAAGAGCATTGTTTTGGACTTCCTTAACTAGTCTCTGACCATGTAAACATGTTGTTTACACCCAAAGTTCCCAGATCAGTTATTGTCAGTTCAGCAGTTTAGTACTTTTCATCTTCTTCCTAATGCCATTTTAGGCCTCAATCTTCTTAGGGTGGTGTCTTCAGCCTTGGCAAGCCTTAATAGGCTCTCGCCAGACCCCAATCATACAATTTCATTCATTCACACATCACAACTTCTCCCTTTGGAGGTCTTTGAGAGACATAATGGAAAGGCCTCCTGCCTTCCATCTGGGTTTATGCATCCTTTAATCTCAGGATAGTTGTCTGTTGTTGGAACCTTGTGGACCAGATTGTTTTGGGTTGGTTGGAGTTGCAGTCTACAATATCTGGAGGATACTAGTTGGCTCCTTTATTCCAGATGCTGTTTAGCACCACAGCCAATAGATTGCATGGTCTTCTTGTCCAATATAATATTGTTTCTTCCCCCTAAATATTGTTTCTTCCCCCTTCCTCCTTGTAATGTCCTTTGGCCATTGCCCTCTTTTGTTAGTTCAGATTGAAAGGAAAGGAAAAACCACTGTGGATTCTTGCATTAGGGCACTATTGTGCTTGTGGGAATGTTGCCCCTAATTTTGGATGGGAGAACATATTCGGGAAGAACTGGTCAATAACTGGTAGCATTTTCACCACTTTAAAAAACATTAAACAGTCCTTATTCTACCTCTTTAAAAAACTCAGTCTGGATTGATTTGCTATTTGGTGACATTTATACTCCAAGCTCAGCGATTGCCCTCCTCTGTTCATTTCCCATGATCCTTCTCCACAATGTTTTGCTTCAATTTTGTCCTATGAAGCAGGTGAACTAAAGCCCTGCTTCAGCTGTGGGTCCCGACCCCAAATGGGGTCTTTTTAGTCCTGAAAAAAATGTTCTGAACATCACTCAATGGCTATTTTAAACATGTATACAAATTTGTTGTGCAGGGTTTACTCTGCAGAAGATGCTTCAGCTGTACTTCATAAAAAAAGGAAAATCGACCTGTTAGCAATCCTTGCAGATCTGATTTGTTATCAGTAAATTTCAGATTGACATGCCTATCTTATATACCAATATACCCATTGCACTCTTTCTCGGGCTAAAGAGCATCCCACATAGAAAAGTTTAAGAAGCCCTGAAGTAAAATATTACTTGTTAAATGACCACTTAATCCTAGTCCAACACTCTTAACCACTTCTGCACCCTGTCTCTCTGAAGCTACACTCTTGTGTCTTTCCTTCAGTGTTGTGACATTAAAGGCATCATAAACAGAGTTGTTACTGATCTTGTATTTTGGGTATCTTCCAATGCCAGCTCGTGTTTCAAAGAAATAAAGTTGAACGGACATTTACACCATTGCTAATATGATGGGGGGAATATTAGCAATTATTTCATCCCAGGTCAAAAACCAGGTTTCCCAACATTTGGGAACTATAATCAGGAAGAATAATAGACCAGCAGGGATTTATAACAATTTTCTCCTGGCACCCAACATCCCAAAGTGCTGAGCAGACATTATTCTTTGGGGGAAAAGAGTGTTGTGCAAAAACAAAACAAAACCCCTGTACTGAGCAGCAAATGACTTTCCTTTAGGATAGACTAGTTTGCGTAACTGACATTGCCCAGGTTATTTGAAAAAGGTCATTTTAAAATTTTTACAAACTGCATGAGGTTGTGGGTGAACTAGAACTCACATCATGCCAGCTTAACCCCCTGAAACTTCATCAGTAGTTAAAGTTTGTCATGTTGGGAAAGTTTGCTCTAGATGCATCATTCATAAGTTTCAGTGTGATCTCTGGCTGCAGGATAAACTACAGCTCCCACCATGGTGGGTCAGTCCCTTCAAATCCCTCCAGTAGTTTCAGTTGGTCATGGAGGTTCTGTGTGCCCAGTTAACTCCAAGGTCACCATTGTTGGTGTCCGGAGTGCTCTTTGATTACAGGTGAACTATAAATCCCAGTACCTGCAATGGCTATAAATCAACGTGAATTCCTCCAAAACCTCTCCAGTATTTTTCTTCGATCATGGGGGTTCTATGTGCCAAATGTGGTCCAGGCCAATTGTCAGTGGGGGTCACAGTGCTATGACTTGATGCCAGGTGAACTACAACTTCTATCATGTGGAGTCAATTCCCCAAACTCCTCCAGTATGTTTATTTGCTGATTAATTCTGCTCTGTTCATTGTCCAGACAGAATTGAAAAAAGTAGGAAAGAGTTAAGGGAGAGGCAGTGGGTGAGATCATGCAAATTCCACACCAGTGGAGAGAGCAAGAAACACTGGGATGCCTTTGGTGAAGGAAACACATAAAATCTAAAATGAAGTTATTCCTGAATGAAAGCATTCCTTGGATGGTGGGTAGCATGGTGTTTGGGGAGGAAATTAGTAGGGGTTGGGCCACATGTTCATGGCTCTCTCTGTAACATGAAATGTCATTGGAGGGAGGCATTTTGGTGGTTCTTCAGCACTGTGGGTTAAAGCTCTTTGTGGAAGTGGGCAACCCAGTCACATATACATATTCTCACTTTTATTATGTGAATAGATAGATCTGTTTGTCGATTAGTCCACTGACCATATCAATAAAAATAGACAGATTGATACTATGCTAAAACTCCTGCTAAAATAAATGAAAACATGATAAAACGTGATTAGATAATAAGTTGGATAAAATGGGATTAAATTGCAAGATGAAAGTGGGGGGAGTCAAGTGGTGGGTGTAAAAGAGTTGGTGGGAGAATTTTGAGAAGTTCATCATCAGTGCAAGGGCGTGTTGCTCTGTTTGGGGTCTTCTGTCCTTGCTGTAAAGTATTGACCTGTTGTTTAATGCCCACCTCTGAGTCAAACTCCATTCTCTCCATCTAGGCCCATGGAGGGGTGATTGTAAACATCACGGCGACGCTCAGTTACAAAGGGCAGGCCCTCCAAATGCATGCCGGCACAGCTAAGGCAGCCATAGGTACTGTTAACCGTTCCATTGTTTCGTCCACCACTTATGCTTACCTGTCTAAGTTTTGCAATGATCCGAGCCTATAATTAAGTGGGGCACCTTTGGTTTGTCATTTGAGTCTTGAGAACATGGCAGGGGCCTTTGGAAAAGACCTTGTGCCTTTTTCCCTGGAGAAAAATCTTGACAGCTTACTTTAGAATAAAAGTGTCCTGGTTCACTGGGTTTTTGTAGGTTTTGCCGGCTATATGGCCATGTTCTAGAAGCATTCTCTCCTGATGTTTTGCCTGCATCTATGGCAAGCATCCTCAGAGGTTGTGAGACCTCACAACCTCCTAGGATGCCTGCCATAGATGGAGGTGAAACATCAGGAGAGAATGCTTCTAGAATATGGCCATATAGCCCAAAAAACCTACAACAACCCAGTGCTTCTGGCCATGGAACCCTTCGACAATACATTGACTTGGTTCAATTTCTCCTCCTTCTGTCTTGTTTGCGGGCCTTAAAGTGTCTTATCAAGTCATGTACTCCTGCCATAGTTTTAACTGGAATCCTTGCAAACCCATTGGGTTTGGATACAATTTGGGGAGCTTTGGATATTTCCCCATTTTATAAAGAATGGAGAGGCTGCAGGTTTTTTGTTGTTGTTGTTGTTGGTTGAGGTGTGTGTCGTTTTTGCATCTGCTGATTGCCTTACAGCATTAAAACCTATTGACATGAATCTTATCCTTCACTAAGAGAATTTTATTTTTGTTTTTTGTAACCAGCACCTAGTGTAATGCAGAGAATGCTTTTTTCCCGGTGGCAGAGTGCAGAGAATAACATCCTGTGCTGTTTTGCTGGGTTGATGTTAATTTTTCAGGCTGTATGTCCCTGTTCCAGTAGCATTCTCTCCTGATGTTTTGCCTGCATCTGTGGCTCATGGCATCTTCAGAGGTTTGTTCAGAGGTCTGTTGGCAGTGAGGCAAGTGGGGTGTATATATACCTGTGTAATAATATCCAGGGTGGGAGAAAGAATCCTTGTCTGTTTGAAGCAAGTGTGAATGGTGCAGTTAGCAAGCTTGATTAGCACTGAGCAGCCATGAAGCTGCAAAGTCCATGAGTGAAGGTATCTGGATAGAGGTAGCTTGGCTGTGGAGACATCTTCTGTTTGGGAGGTGTTAACTGGCATTTGGTTGTTTGCTGTCTGGAATTCCCCTGTTGTTGAGTGGTGTTCCTTATTTACTGTCTCAATGCTGGTGTTTTTTAATACTGTTGACCAGATTTTGTTCATTTTCATGGTTTCTTCCTTTCTGTTGAAATTGTCCACTTGCTTCTTGTGGATTTCAATGGCTTCTCTGTGTAGCCTGACATGATAGTGGTCAGAGTGGTCCAGCATTTCTGTGCTCCCAAATAATATTCTGAGTCCAGGTTGGTTCATCAAGTCCTCTACTTGGATCAGTCTGCAGTGCCTTTCAGAATAAAGACAGCAAATAAAGAACACCACTCAGAAACAGTGGGATTCCAGACAACAAACAGTGGGATTCCAGGCAACAAGCAATTAACACTTCCCAAATAAAGGATGCCCCCAGACAGCAACAGCTAACAAATACCCTCACTGATTGACCTTGCAGCTGCAAGGCTACTCAGTGCTAATCGAGCTTGCTAATTACAAAGTCCACACTTCTTTCTCCCACCCTGGAAATCATTCCACAGGTATATACACTCCACTTGCCTCATTTCCAATAGAACCTCTGAAGATGCCATTAGCCACAGATGCAGGCAAAATGTCAGGAGAGAATGCTGCTGGAACATTGGAATATGGCCAGATGGCCCGGAAAACTCACAACAACCCAGTGATTCAGGCCATGAAAGCATGTGACAACACAATGAGAACAAGATCTTTATCAGCCTCATAATAATCTAGACTACCTTGGAATAATATATTTCTGTGAATTGATCTAATTGCTAGATGGCCCTTAGAGCTGTAGTGCTTGTTGTTTCCACTTTGTTGATGACGACGATAATAATAATAATGATTGTATCCAATCTGGGTCTATTTTGTTTTGGTTTTGGTTTTTTGCTCATCTCTCTTTCCCCTTCATATTTTATTTTCTGTTTTGTTTCCTGGCAGATGCAATGACAAAACACCTGGCGGTGGAATGGGGCCCAGATGGCATCCGAGTGAACAGCATTGCTCCTGGTCCCATTTTGGGCACGGAGGGGATGCGCCGCTTAGGTAGGACTTGAAAGAATGATGGAATACATAGTATATTACACACACACACACACATATATCTTGCCATTCACTATAGTTTGTGAACCATTCAGGAACAGATAGCAAAGCCATGTTTCTGAGCCATTAGGACAAGTTGTTCTAGTTTTATAATGGACTCTGCCTTGTGAGCCCATTATAAAACTAGAACAATCACCCCCGTTCTCATGACTCTAGACTCCAGGACATGTTGCCATGTCCTGGTTTCATTTCCAAAGAGATCCCAAGGGCCATCCAGTCCAACCTTGAGACACAATCAGTGCCTCCTTTCAGATGGCTAGTCACCCTTTGCTTAGAAGCCTCTATAGAAAGAGGCTTCATCCCACTCCAAAGCACTCTATATTGCTCTATGGAGTTGGATGGAACACCCAAAGGCGATCCAGTCCTGCCCCATTCCGCCAGTTAGAAAGACACCACCAAAGCTCTCCCGACAGATGACTATCCGGCCTTGGCTTAGAAGCCTTCAGAGAAGGAGACTCTACCACACTCCAACAAAGCCCTCCTGACAGATGGCCTCCCAGCCTCAGCTTAAAAGACACCACCACACACCAAGGCAGTCTATAGAGCAGCATAGAGTTGGAAGGGGCACCCAAAGGCTGTCCAGTCCTGTCCCATTCCACCATGCAAAATGACACCATCAAAGCCTTCCAGCCTTTGCTTAGAAACCTACAGAGATGGAGGCTCCACCACACTCCAAGGCAGTCTATATTGCTCTATAGAGTTGGCTGGGACACCCAAAGGCCATTCCAGTCCTGTCCCATTCCACCATGCAGAAGGACACCTCCCAGCCTCTCCTTGAATAATCCTCCTTCCCTTTCAGCCTCCCCTCGGGCAGACAGCAGCAACATTTACCAAGAGATCCCTCTCCAGCGGGCCGGAAACAAGACTGAGATCGCCCACAGTGTGTTGTACCTGGCCAGCCCCTTGTCCTCATACGTGACCGGCACGACTCTGGTGGTGGATGGTGGCAGCTGGATGACAACCCGGAATGACTTCCCCGCACTGTTGGGTATTGCCTCACACTCTGCTAAGCTCTAGGTGATGCTCCTTTCCCGCTCGGTGGGATTAGATAGGCGTCAACAGCAGAATGACTCTCCCACCCTGTGATTTAGTGAACATAACCATAGAAACATGACCTAAGTCCCCTCTTCAATTCCTCCCCCCCCCCCCAAAGGATCATTGCCCACCTGGATTCCAAGTTTTCTAAGGATGCCTTATTTTGTAGATAGTATCAATCAGTGGGACTTAACTCACAGGCAAGTTTGTATGCAGGACCGCAAGCTGTAAGTAGGATGCATGTATGTAGCAGTGCTATGTGTTCAATGCTTTGCAGCTAAAATGCATGCCCAGTAAGGGGTCTTATTTTGCTTTATGGACTCCTCTTTGAAAATAACATATTCACTAATACTATCCTTTGTTGTTGTGGTTTCATGTTTGCCAATAACAAGAAGATATTAAATCTTAGTCTGAACTCTATATCTTTGAAGTCATTCTGAATCCATTACACTATGTAACAAAATTGGAGAAAAAAATCTGTTCCTGGTTTGAAAGTGTTATTTCCTGTTTAATTGTGCAGTACTGACTTTGATAGAAGTTGTTCTATTCCAGAAACTTTGTTCTTCTACGTGGTCTCTGTGAAATACGCACCTGATATATTTTCCTGCACCTGTCGCAGCTGAATCAGACTCTTCTAAAAAGCTCTGCAATTAAGGGGCTCTCTTTCTCTTGACTATAACACACTTATCTTTTGCTTGATGCTCATGGGGCTTTAGTGTTTTACATCAAGAGGCCAGCTGCCTTTAGGAAAACAGCTCGGCTGTTCATATAGTACTGCAAGAATACAGCAGGACTCCCTTTCCATTCAGAGGTTGTCGGGCTGGATCTTCGCAGTGATTCACTTAGCATACTAGCTAGTTGGTCAAGACTTACCTGTGCATGTGAGAGCCCATTCTACCAGGCAGTGTCTACCTCCATGGCTGTCACATTGCCAGGGCTCTGCCTGTACACAGGCAGAGGTGAACCAAAACAAACACCCAGCTTGTGTCAAACTGTTTAATTAAAGCAGTACTTACAGACTGGCTGTTTTCACAGTCCAAAATCTAAAACATAAAGATAGCACTCAGCCACAGAATAATAAAACAAAGACGGATAGCAAATGCTGATGCAGGTTCGAGAAAACACCATAGTCAAAAAGGTCCTGTCCAGTAGTCAAACGCCAAGAATTTAATGAGTAAAGTCCAAGAATCAAGAATCTATACTGTAGTTAATATCCAGCCCAGAGATTCAAGGTTCCAGGATTCCAAGAATTCAGGAGACAGGTCAGGTTACTGAAAATCCACAAACCTCTGTGTGTGTTGGGGGGGGGGGGGGGGGGGGGGGGAGCAGCATCCACAGCCAAAAATAGAACAAATACTTTTCTTCCCAGATCAGTCTGCAGGCTAACTCCTTATAACCAGTAATACCCAGCTGCAACCTATCTCTTGCACGCCTCCACCCTTAACTGTTTCACCTTTAAACTCTTACTTCGAGATTACTCAGCCCTTTAGATCTAAGACTTACATTAACCCCTTCCATCACCAACTGCTCAGCCTACCACCATCAACTGCGGAACATGTTACATGACAACGGCTTTCTTAAGGGGCTTCCCACTAGAATACATTTGGGCCACGCCTGACACCTTCAACACCCATTACAAACTGGATGTCCTAGCTAAGAGAGACATAGCCTTCAGTAGAGCTGTTTTGTTCTCTGCAGTTGCATGATACCCTCCTCCACTGAGGGGAGCTTGCTAGTCTACATCAGATGTGTATTTCACAGAGACCATGAAGAAGAAGGATTACTTACCTGTTACTGTGTTTCTTCAAGTGGTCATCTATGAAATTTGCACAACCTGCTCATTGTCTCATCTGTTATGCTTCGATTCTCGACTGCTGCTTTGCGGCAGCGGAACTGAGGTTTCAACACTGGCCGCCGCGTTATATCATGGGAGGGCGGGCGGGGTTGGAGCCCCTTAATTACAGAGTTTCTTAAAAGTGTCCGATTTAGCTGCGACAGGCTCAGGAAACAATATCAGGTGTGAATTCACAGATGACCACTCAAAGAAACACAGTTACAGGTAAGCAACCTATTCTTTTTGTGGCACAAACTATGTTGAGTGGGTTGAGACTCGATGATGAGATACTCATTGAAAAACTATTGCAATATGTCCTATAGCAGGATGTCCCTCCCTCCCACAAGAACAATGTTTATTTATTATTTATTTATTTATTACTGTGCTTGTATACCGCCGTTTCTCAGCCTACATTGGCGACTCAACGCGGTTTACAACACTACAATAATCAACAATATTCAGTTTAAAAAGCATAAAAACACATACACAATACACAATATTGGGCCACCAATACAAACCAATGCATCTCTTAACTAAAATCATAATCCATTTTCATCGTCTGTGATTACCAGTCCTTGATCATCAATTTCATTGCACCGGATTAGCCGAATGCTTGTTCGAACATCCATGTCTTCAGTCTTTTTCGAAACACCATCAGCGAGGAGGCTGATCTTATCTCTATGGGGAGGGCATTCCAAAGCCGAGGGGCCACCACAGAAAAGGCCCTGTCTCTCGTTCCCGCCAGCTGCACCTGTGAAGCAGGCGGGATAGAGAACAGGGCCTCCCCCGAAGATCTTAGGGTCCTGGTGGGCTGATAGGCCGAGATACGTTCAGATAGATATGTTGGGCCAGAACCGTTTAGGGCTTTAAAGGCCAACGCAAGCACTTTGAATTGGGCCCGGTAGCAAATCGGCAGCCAGTGGAGCTGGTGCAGCAGAGGAGTTGTATGCTCCCTGCGTCCCGCTCCTGTTAGTACCATGGCTGCCGCCCGTTGGACTAATTGGAGCTTCCGAGCCGTCTTCAAAGGCAACCCCACGTAGAGAGCGTTGCAGTAGTCAAGACGGGATGTAACCAGAGCGTGGACTACCGTGGCCAAGTCAGACTTCCCAAGGTACGGTCGCAGTTTGTGCAGTTTAATCAACTTTTGTGCAGTTTAATCAACTTTTTCCATTTTGAAATGATACAACCAATTAGGAAATGACATTTATTACCCAGGAACAAAAATTATAATGTTGCATAGTGTTATCCGAGTTCCAAAGTATTTGTTTTCCTTCTTTATTGAGCCGGACATCTCCCTTCTGTGTTGTTTTATTGGAGTTGTCTTTCATCCGTTTTTTAGATGCCATGTGATTCCATCCAGTCTCTTTCTTTCCTTTTCAGATTTTTGGACTACGGAATTGAAAAGAGATAAATGAAAGACCATCCTGGAAAAGACCCTCCGACTTCAAAGCAGGGCCAAGATGGGGAATCACAAACCTGACTTCGCTGCTACGTAGCTTTGGACCAAACTGGCAACAGAAGTATTTCAGATCTTGATATCGTAGTGATATCAAGTCAGGAAAGCCAGAACACATTTGGGAACCAAACCCAAAAATCTCACAGTGATTCAGAATTACTTGGCTGCTTTCTCTCCTTATTGGCCCATCGCTTTCCCAGCTCGTTGTCGTCCAACACTCTCCATAGCAGGCATGGGCCAACTTTGGTAGGCTGGTAGGAATTGTGGGAGTTGGAGTCCAAAACACCTGGAGGGAGGGCCGAAGTTGACCCATGCCTGCTCCATAGAGGCTCACCTGTTCAATGTGACTTCGGATATTTTGAAAAAGGCCTTCCTTGGACCTAAATAGTTTTGGGAGGAAATAGCAAAACATGGTAGAAATGTGTTGCCGAAGGCTTTCATGGCTGGAACTACTGGGTTGCTGTAAGTTTTCTGGGCTGTCTGGGCAAACTCCAGAAGCATTCTGTCCTGACGTTTCGCTTTCATCTATGGCAAGCATCCTCAGAGGTTGTGAGGTCTGTTGGAATCTAGGCAAGTGAGGTTTATATGTCTGTGGAATTATGTCCAGGATGAGAGAAAGAACTCTTGTCTGTTGGAGGCAAGTGTGAATGGTGTAATTGACCAGCTTGATAAGCATTGAGTAGCCTTGCAGCTTCAAAGCCTGGCTGCACCCTGCCTGGGGGAATCCTTTGTTGGGAGCTGTTAGCTGGCCTAATTGGCCCTGACCATGTCAGACTAGACAGTGGAGTCATTAAAATCCACAAGCATATAGACAATTTCAACAGAAAAGAGGAAACCATGAAAATGAACAAAATCTGGCTAAAAAAACTGTGCATATGAAAAAAAAACTCTAAAATCAGAACAATAAATAAAGAGCAATACTCAGAAAACAGGGCCATTTGCCTAGTTTCCAACAGATCTCACAACCTCTGAGGATGCCTACCATAGATGTGGGCAAAATGTCAGGAGAGAATGCTTCTAGAACATAACGAGACAGCCCGGAAAACTCACCACAACCCATGGCAGAAATGCTCACAAGAGACCTAGAAAGCATTTGAGGGCAAGCGATTGATCTTTTGGTGTAACTGCACTTTACCCAGCTCTTGCTTTGAGATTCTGCAGCCTAGCAATGCATTCCCAGACCTGAGATTCGACATTTACAGTCTGTTATATTATCAACTCCTGAGGTTTTTGCTACCATATGATACAAAAGCAATGTCTGGTAAAGTGTTTTCCAAAAGACAGGGTGAAAACCAGAGCAGCATCCCGATGCTGATGTGGGAAAATAAATATGTTTTAACTTAGGGTTAGTTTATTATACTTACTCAAATTCCATTTTATTTTCTGTTTGCCTTACCTGCACCATTTGCTACTGGAGCCTTTTTTTGTTTCGTTTTGTTTTATTGCGAGGAAAGAAATGTCTTGTTTCGTATTGACTGATCCAGACTGACTTTTCCTATATCTAATCGTCATGATTCTGGGCCAAACAGGGTGATTCTGCACTTTTCCCCCACAATGCGCTCCTTGAAATAAATTCTACAAATTTCTGTCTTAGAAAAGAGCAAATTTCCATTTGGAATCCTTGTTTTGGGAGAAAATTTATGGCTTTAATATTGGTCCATTTCCAAGGCGAGAAACCTCAGGTTCACCTTCTATTTTGAATGCTGGTTCACCAGCATTCGAGTACCATAATAATAATAATAATAATAATAATAATAATAATAATAATAATAATAATATCTGTACTGGTGGTCCCAGTGGTAATTGGCACACTGGGTGCCGTGCCAAAAGATCTCAGCCGGCATTTGGAAACAATAAACATTGACAAAATCACAATCTGTCAACTGCAAGAGGCCACCTTCCTTGGATCTGAGCACATCATTCGAAAATACATTTCACAGTCCTAAACGCTTGGGAAGTGTTCAACTTGTGATTTTGTGATACGAAATCCAGCATATATATCTCATTTGCTGTGTCATACTGTGTTTTTGTGTCAGTAAAATAATAATTGTATTTCTTACCCACCTCTCCTTGTGGCTCGAGGCAGGTTACAGAATAATTAAAACACATAAACATGATAACAATTCAACAAATACACATATTAAAACGTATTTCTATAAAATCCATATTAAAATACACAGAACAGATTTATCATGTCAGAGGCAAATTGAGGGTACAGTTAAAATGTATTTAAAACACAAAGTTAAAAACTTGGCATTATACTAAATGTTCTTTGACCAGTATCTGGCCACTTGGAGTGCCTCTGGTGTTGCTGTGATAAGGTCCGCCATTGTGCATGTGGCAGGGCTCAGGTTGCATTGTAATAGGTGGTCTGTGGTTTGCTCTCCACACTCATATGTCATGAAATTTACTTTGAAGCCCCATTTCTTAAGGTTGTCTATACAGCTCGTCATGCCAGAGCGCAGTCTGTTCAGCACCTTCCAAGTCTCCCAGTCTTCTGTGTGCCCAGGGGGGAGTCTCTCATTTGGTGTCAGCCGTGGATTGAGGTTTCAGGTTTTAGCCTGCCACTTTTGGACTCTCACTTGATGAGGTGTTCCTGCAAGTATCTCTGTAGATGTTAGAAAGCTCTTTCTTGATTTAAGGTGTTGGCGTGCTGGATGATATCTGAACACAGAATGAGCCGGAGATGTCACTGCCTTGGTCCTTTCATTATTGGCTGCTTCTTCCCAGCAGGTGGTGCAATACTGGCCATTTCTCCAGAGATTAAAACAAACAACACGAGTTTAAAATTCATGCTCAAAACTTCTTCTAGCCTAAAAAGAGACACAAAACAGCCAACACTAAAAACTATACAATATATAATTGAATACCTTTACAAAACCATACAAATATTAACAGGATTTATCATTGAAAGTATTAAGAATAAACAGTTTCTGTTATCTCCCATCAATGATTGGAGAAAACGGGATATTTCAAGATAGACAAACTACGCTGCATATAGCAGAAGGGTTATTTGCAAACAGTGGAAGGAATTATGTGAGAACTCACTGTTGTTACCATTTATTTATATGAGTAAAATACCATCAAAATAGCATGATTGCTGTGTGCCTTCAAGCCATTTCCATCCTAAGGTGACCCTGTCCCAATGACTACTTTTAATACACATTCTCTATGAAGGCCATTGCTTTTTATAAGACCTACCAGAAGAATGCAAAAAACATGAGTTTTCAGGATTCCCAGATCTCTTGGTTGGCTAGATGTTACAAAAAGGAGAAGAAACCTTGTTGAAGGAAGTTGTCCTGAAATGCAGATATGCTCCATCCACGGCGTCCGCTGTATCTACCCAGCTTATAACTCTATCAAAAAAAGTTATCAGGTTAGTCTGGCATGACTTGTTTTTAATAAATCCATGTTGACTATTTCATCTCTTTTGGTTGCCATCTTTTCCAAATTTCTTGGGCTGTTTTCCATATCATTTTTTCCAATTCTTAACCTTAGATTATACTGGTGAACATCCCATGAAAGTGAAGTTCTGAGTCGTAATTCACAGCTCAATCTCTCAACCACTATGTTACATCTTTAACCACAGGCTTTGGAGGAGTTGCTTTCTTGACTAGATTCCACCAAACATTCGAAGAGATGCCATTGCTATAAGAACAGATAGACACTGGAATACAAATTTAATAGGCTTCCCTTCTCCAGGGGTCTTGTAACAGAGGATGGATGGGCATCTTTCCAAAGGGTTGCAATTCTGTATTGCATGGCAGAATAAGGGTTGGACTACATGGCCCTTGTAACCCCTTCCAGCATCATGATACTGTGACTATAGTCCCCAGGATCCTTTGCACAGCATGATTAGTCACCAGGTGAGCCACAGAATCCTTGATGTTTGGATGCAAATGTCCAAAACAATAACGCAAGTGTATTACTAAATCAGGCAATTTTGCACCAAGCAATTTAAAATCTGCAGATGTACAAATAGGATGATGACTCTTACAAAAAGCCACGTTTTGCCATTGCAGTGTGTTTGGGATGGGAAGGATGCTTGCCTCCCTAGAATGAAAGGTTGTCAAGGGAACTGTTGCTAAGCAACTAATCCTCCCTCCTCTGGGTAACCAAAGAGATCCCTGATGCTGGGACCGAGGGAGGGGAGGGGAGGAGGGGTCTTCCTTGTTGCTATAGCAACCAACAGGTGAGCAGAGAGCATCATTGCCTGCCACTGGAAGGACCCACGCCCAAGTCATAGCCTTCGAGAGCATGAAAGTCAATGGAGGGCCAAGATTTAGCCATTTACATGGCTGCACACCTATGTAGGCTTGGGTCTCTGCAGAATTTGGAAAGCTTCAACCTTCATCTGGATATATAGCTATATATAGATCTAGACTGTGTCTATGTGTGCATATGAATTCTGAAAACTGTCTCTGTGTGCATATGAATTCTGAAAACCTCAACTTTTATAGATAAATAGATTGATAGACAGATGGACAGAGGTTTGGATGGATGGACGGACAGATAGATATCCAGACAGACAGACCGGTTTGGATAGATAGATATAAGCAGACAGCGTACGGATGGATGAATAGATAGAGGTTTGGATGGATGGATAGACACAGACATACAAAGGTTGGTTTGGATGGATGAATAGATATACAGATAGAAGTTTGGATGGATAGACAAGTTTGGATGACTGGATGGATGGATAGACAGATGTTTGGATGGATAGGCAGAGAAGTTGGGATGGATAGACGCAGGTTTTCAGAATTCCTCAATCATCTTCATTTTTTAATTTTGAGAATTTTGAAAAACCTCAACCTGAATCTACAGATACTATACAGAGATATAGAATTATAGGCTGACATTTTAAAAAGTGTGTGTGTGTGTAAACCACAACCTCTCATTCATGCACACACATATATCTTCTCTCTCTCTCTCTCTATATATATATATATACATATATAATAGTATTTGTTTCCCTCTTTCTCTCTCTCTCAAGGAGACTCAAAGTGGCTAACCATTGAAATGACACAATGTATATATTAAAACCTAGCAGATGTGAATATAATAAAATTAAATATGAGAGTTATCAAAATACATAACTGACACCAACAGAATCATTAAAACGAATATATATGTGTGTATTGTGTATATGTATAAATATGTATACGATATGTGTGTACATATATGTGTGTGTCTGTGTGTATATATACACACACATATGCAAACATACTGAGATTTTCAGTGTTTATGAATGCACACACAAAAACTTCAACCTTTACATACACACACACACACACACACATTCTGAAAACCTCATAAATATCAATAGAAAGGCTAATGTTTTCAGAATCCATATATTTTATATATCCTCAAACACTCTGCTTCATTCGGAAGAATGCTCTGCTCGCAGAGCTCAAACAGTATTGTATTTCAGTGTTGATGTTGACTTTTGTGGAGAGGTGGCCGCCAAGAGAGCGGAAATGGTCAACGTGTTCTAATGTTTCACCATTAAGCTATATTTCTAGCCTTGCAGAGGGCTTGGCTGGTGACTGCTGGAAGAGCACTTTGGTTTTCTTGATGTTCAATGAGAGGCCAAGCTTTTCATATGCTTCTGCAAAGGCATTTAGAGTGGCTTGTAGGTCTTTCTGAATGCGCATAGGCTACATTATCATCAACATATAACAGATGTTGTTGTGACCTTGGTTTTAGCTTTCAGTCTGCTTAGGATAAACAGCTTGCCGTCTGTCCGACAGATTATTTCCACACTGGCGAGTATGCAGAATATCCTAATTTAGAGGCAGTATACTATAGATCACCAATTTTTCACAGAACAGAATAGCTGCCTAAAATTGAGAAATCAATTTTAGAACCGCTCAAGCAGTCAAACCAACTTCTTTAGGTGTTGATGCACCATCGGTTTGGTTGCCAGGACTGTTCTGTAATTGTGTTTGGGAATGTGCATTCAACATTTGGGATTAGAAATTATGAAGATATTTATTTATACCCTGCTTTTTCTTTCCACAAAGGAGACGGACAGCAGCTTGCATTAGAATAGAATAGCTTTATTTGTCATTGTGCTATTGTACAATGAAATTAAATGCCTTCCACAGCACACACCACAAAACACACCCATTCCTCTGCACTCCAGCCACCACTGCACAGCCCCCAATGCCACATTAATACGAAGCCATAGAATTCAACATCGCCACAGATCTAGGATTAAAGCTATCCTTCAGTCTGTTGGTCCTTGCCTTTGTCACCCTGGACTGCCTGCCAGATGGTAATGATTCAAAGAAAGAATGATCTCCAAGATCTCCAAGAATGCTCTGAGCTTTCTTAAGGCTGTGGGATTATAGAGTTCTTTCAAAGAGAACTCTATCTATATATCTATCTACCATTTTATCTACTATTCGTTTTCCCTCCCTCCTAATCCATCCATCTATCAGCCTTTCTTTCTATCTATCGACCTTCCTACCTATCTACTACTCCATCCATCCATCCATCCATCCATCCATCCATCTCTACCTATCAATGTACCTATTTATTTATTTAGGGCTTTCTCAACCTCTGCAGAGAGACTCAGGGCAGCTAACAAAGCGGGACCCCATTGCGACCACATCAAAACATAAAATATACAATTAACAGCAATGTAATAATAACAACAATATATAACAGTATAAACAGTATAAAACCGTATAAACAATATAAAAACAATATAAAAACAGACAACAAATAGTCAGCAGTCACTGATTTAAATCATTATCCAAGGGCAGTCCATCAGTTCTAAATAACTCAACACGACAGTAGGTCAGCCTATTCTCCAAAGGCCTGATCCCATAGACAGGATTTTACTTGTTTCTGGAAGGTCAAGAGGGATGCAGCAGATCTAATTTCACTCGGGAGGGAGTTCCATAGCTGGGGGGCCACCACAGAAAAGGCCCTGTCCCTTGTGCCCGCCAGACGCGATAGCGACAATGGGGGGATAATGAGCAGGGTCTCCTCAGATGATCTTACCTATCGACCTATCTATCTACCCATTTATCTACCTATCTATATATCCATCCAACCACCTATCGACCTATCTACTAATCCATCAATCAATTTACCTATTGACCTACCTATCCGTCCGTCCGTCCATCCATCCATCCATGCATTTCTCTACCTTTCTATCCATCCATTGACCTATCTTTCTACTAATCCATCCATCCACCCACCTTTCTATCCATTCATCCACCTATCGACCTATCTACTAATCCGTCAATCTACCTATTGACCTACCTATCTATCCATCCATCCATCCATCTACCTTTCTATCCATCCGTCCACCTATTGACCTATCTTATCTATCTATCCATCCATTTATCTCACTTTCTATTCATCCATCTACCTACCCATCCATCTTTCCATCCATCCATCCACCTATCTATCGATCTATCTATCTACCCATCCATCCATCCATCCATTTATCTACCTTTCTATTCATCCACCTATATATCTACTAATCCATCCATCCATTTCTCTACCTTTTTATCCATCCTTCTACCTATCTATTGACCTATCTTTCTACTAATCCATCCATCCACCCACCTTTCTATCCATTCATCCACCTATCGACCTATCTACTAATCCGTCAATCTACCTATCAACCTACCTATCTATCCATCCATCTACCTTTCTATCCATCCATCCTATTGACCTATCTTATCTATTAATCCATCTAACTATCCATCCATTTATCTCACTTTCTATTCATCCATCTACCTACCTACCTACCTATCCATCCATTCATCCATTCATCTTTCCATCCATCCATCCACCTATCTGTCTATCTACCCATCAATCCATCCATCCATTTATCTACCTTTCTATTCATCCCCCTATCTATCTACTAATCCATCCATCCATCTACCTATCTATCAAGCTTTCTCTCTAGCTACTAAACTATCCACCCATCTACCAATTGATCTTTTCTTTCTTTCTTTTCTTTCTTTTCACCTCATTCCTTCAGAGATAGGCAGACTCATCCCTTCAGAGATAAGAAGCCCCACCACATTTGTATCATTTGCAGATTTGGTAATGATATTGCTATGATGGAGACATACATACATACGTACACCATAAAAGCATTCAAAAGCTATCCCTGATTTACGAAAGTTGGAGGAAGGTTTTAGGGAAGGCAATACACACACACACACACGTATATATTTTTTCTTGCTTCCTTTCCTGGTTTGTTTTTGTTATGTTTTTTTCTCTCCCCTTTGAATATATGGGGGTGTGAGTCAGGTTACATAATAAATCCTTGGGAGAGCGGAGGAGAAATAAGCAAAACCCTGGCATTTGCAAGCTGCAGAGGCAGCCCACGCAATAGTGGGGCCTGAGGCAGGAAGAAAACCCATATATCATTTTGCTAGGAATGAATGGGTGGTCTATGGGGCATCTCAACCAGACAATAAGAGGCACTGCTTGCTTTCAACCTTCAGACTCCTCAGCCTTTGCTCTGACCACTCAGGTTGTTTACTAGCAGGACTAGAGAATTAGCTCCTCTCTGGCCCCATCTACACTGCCATATACAATCCAGATTATCTGTTTTGAACTGGATTATATGAGTCTACACTGCCATATAATCCAGTTCAAAACAGATCATCTGGATTTTGTATGGCAGTGGAAAGCCAAGTGGGAAGCTGGGTTAGATGTTTAGCTTTTAAATGTATTTTTATTGTATTTTAATTTTGCATTCTGACACAAATATTTAATTGTTTTTATACAAAAATTATGTAATTTGTCTTATTTAAAATTTCTATGATTATTCTATTATTGTTATCTGCCTTGTGTCCCTGTGGAGAGAGAGGAAGGATAGAAATAAAGTTACCGTAGTAGTAGTAGTAGTAGTAATAGTAATAGTAATAGTAATAACAATAATAAATATAAAATAAAACAAGAATGGCAACAAAATAATAATATAATGGTGATAAAATAAAAATAAAATAATAAAAACATTATAACACATAGTAAGAGCAATAAAATAATAAAAGCAATATAATATAACAATAATATCAGCAAATAGAATAAAAATAGCAGCATAACAATAACAGCAACCAAATATTAATGAAATATAAAATAACATTAAATAATAGCAATATAATTTAAAATGATAGCAATACAGGAATAAAATAAAATATAAATGATTAATAATAGCACTATAATACAATAATAACAATAAAATAATAAAAATATAAAATAATAATAGCAATATAATAACAACAACAGCAATCAAATAATAATAAAATAATAGTTGCATTAGTAAAGGTAAAGGTTTTCCCTTCACATTAAGTCTAGTTGTGTCTGACTCTGGAGGGTGCTACATATCTCCATTTCTAAGCCAAAAAGCTGGTGTTGTCTGCAGACGCCTCCTAGGTCATGTGGCCAGCATGATTACATGGAGCCCCATTACCTTCTTGCAGAAGCGGTATCTATTGATCTCACATTTACATGTTTTCGAACTGCTAGGTTGACAGAAGCTGGAGCTAACAGCGGGAGTTCACCCTGCTCCTCAGATCTGAACTGCCAATCTTTTGGTCAGCAAGTTCAGCAGCTTAGTGGGTTAACCCACTGTGCCCTAAATTAATAATAGTCACATTATAATAATAATAGCAATGAAATAATAAAATAAAATAAATGATAGCAATATAATATAATAGCAATAACAGCATGATATACTAACCATAAGAGCAACAAAATAATAATAAAATAATAGTTGTATTATAATATAACAATAGCAATGAAATAATAAAATAAAATATACAATAATAGAAATATAATACAATAACAATAACGATAGCATAACGTAATAACAATAAGAACAATAAAAAGTCATAAAATAATAGTCTCATTGCAATATAATAACAATAATAGCAATGAAATAATAATAAAATAAAATAAAAGATATAATAATAATAGCAGTACAATAACAATAACAGCATGATATAACAAGAGCAAAAATAGTAATAAAATAGTAGTTACATAATAATAACAATACTAGCAATGAAATAATAATACAGTAAAATATATTATAGCAGTAATTACTCTCAGCTTTCCCTGGGCAGCTTCAAATGCAAGGCAATTGTTGGGCTGCTATGATTTTTCCAGGCTGTATGGCCATGTTCTTGTCTTCGTCATGTATGACCTTGAAGGAGATGGGGGTGGTGATGGCCGACAGTGAACTCTAGCCTGGTCCATGAGCTCACTAAGAGTTGGAAGCGACTGGACGAATAAACAACATGGGCATGTTCCAGAAGCATTCTCTCCTGATGTTTTGCCCACATCTATGGCAGGCATCCTCAGAGGTTGGCAACCCCACTAGGCAAGTGGGGTTTATATGTCTGTAGAATAATGTCCAGGGTGGGAGAAAGAACTCTTGTCTGCTTGAGGCATGTGTGTATGTTTGCAATTAGCCACCTTGATTAGCATTGAATGGCCTTGCAGCTTCAAAGCCTGGCTGCTTCCTGCCCCGGGGGGGGGTCCTTTGTTGGGAGGTGTTAGCTAGCCTTGACTGATTCTTGTCTGGAGTTCCCCTGTTTTTTGAGTGTTGCTCTTTATTTACTGTCCTGATTTTAGAAGGTTTTTTAAAAAAAATATTGGTCGCCAGATTTTGTTCATTTTCATGGTTTCCTCCTTTCTGTTGAAGTTTGTCCACATGCTTCTTGTGGATTTCAGTGGCTTCTCTGTGTAGTCTGACATGGTGGTTGTCAGCGTGGTCCAGAAAGAACTCTTGTCTGCTTGAGGTAGTGTGAATGTTGAAATTGGCCAGGTTGATTAGCACTGAATGGCCTTGTAGCTTCAAAGCCTGGCTGCTTCCTGCCGGGGGGGGGCAATCCTTTGTTGGGAGGTGTTAGCTGGAGTTCCCCTGTTTTTTGGGGTTTTTTTTTTTAGTGTTGCTCTTTATCTACTGTCCTGATTTTAGAGGGTTTTTTAAAAAATATTGGTCGCCAGATTTTGTTCATTTTCATGGTTTCCTCCTTTCTGTTGAAGTTTGTCCACATGTTTCTTGTGGATTTTTACTAGCATTGGGGTGGGATTCTGACTTTAGTGCAACTCAAGGTTTAGGTTGTAGTAGGTTTTTCAGGCTATATGGCCATGTTCTAGAACAGTGTTTCTCAACCTTCCTAATGCCACGACCCCATAATACACTTCCTCGTGTTATGATGACCCCCCAACCATAAAATTAGTTCCGTTGATACTTCATAACTGTCATTTTGCTGCTGTTATGAATCGTAATGTAAATATCTGATATGCAGGATGTATTTTCATTCACTGGACCAAATTTGGCACAAATACCCAATACACCCAAATTTGAATACTAGTGGGATTGGGGGAGGGTATTGATTTTGTCCTGTGGGAGTTGCAGTTGCTGGGATTTATAGTTAACCTACAATCAAAAAGCATTCCGAACTCCACCAACAATGGAATTGAGTCAAACTTGGTATACAGAACTCCCATGACCAACAGAAATTACTGTGGTGGGCATTAACCTTGAGTTTTGGAGTTGTAGTTCACCTACATCAAAAGAGCACTGTGGACTCAAACAATGATGGATCTGGACCAAACTTGGCATGAATTCTCAATATGCCCAAATGTGAATACTGATGGAGTTTGGGAAAAATACACCTTGACATTTGGGAGTTGTAGTTGCTGAGATTTATAGTTCACCTATAAAGAGCATTCTGAACCCTACCAACGATTGAATTGGGCCAAACTTCCCATACAGAACATCCACGACCAACAGAAAATACTGTGGTTTCTGATGGTCTTTGGAGACTCCTCTGCTACCCCCTTGCGACCCCTCCAGGGGTCCCGACCCCCAGGTTGAGAAACACTGTTCTAGAAGCATTCTCTCCTGACGTTTCGCCTGCATCTATGGCAAGCATCTTCAGAGGTTGTGTGGATGCCTGCCATAGATGCAGACGAAACGTCAGGAGAGAATGCTTCTAGAACATGGCCATATAGCCCGAAAAACCTACAACAACCCAGTGATTCCAGCCATGAAAGCCTTCGACATTAAACTCAAGGTTTGTTTGACCAGCAGAGGCATCATTTGGCCTTTGCTGTTTTGCCTTTTTACTGAGGCCACTCAATGGGTGGGATTCGAACCCAGGCCCTCCAAGAAATGGATCCATTCCTTGCAATGCCAAGCAGAGCCTTTGCTGCCTGGGCCACAGTGCGAGCCTGTAGGGAAAGCGCCTGAAAGGTGATGTACTGACCAAAGGTGGGGAAGAGTTCCTTTGCAGCCTCCCCTGCCCGCTGGTGGGAGCTGTTGCCCCAGGATCGTCGCGCATCAGAGGCGGGACCATCCAAGAGAGAACAAGAGGGCCGAGCCTTCCCTTTCGTCGTCGTCGCCCTCCTCCTCCTCCTCCTCCTCCTCCTCCTCCTCCTCGTCTCGGGCGGAGCTTGTGGCCAGAGCGCCAGAAAGGAGGGAACGCGCAAGGAAGAAAGGAGAAAGAGAGGAAGGAAGGAAGGAAAGAAGGAAGGAAGAAAGGCAGACGGAAAGAAAGAGCCTGCCGTTGGATCTCCAGCCCCGCCGGTAAGCGAAGGAGAGGAGGGCAAAAGGGAGGGAAAGGAGGAGAGAGAGAAGGAGGGAGGAGAAAGAGAGGAAAAGGAGGAGAGGAGGAGGAAGGAAGAGGAGGCGGCACTTTGCAGAGGCCGGCGCGGCGTGGCTTTTTTCTCCTCCTCCTCCTCCTCTTTCTCTTCTTCTTTCCGTGATCTCATCCCTTTCCTCCCTTTTTCCTTTCCTTCCTTCCTTCTCTGCAGCTTTTTGGAAGGCTTTTCTTTCCCAAGAGGAAGAAGGAGAAGGGATGCGTGGCCGATGGGTCGGAAGCTCAAGCCAGGAGGCCCAGCGGATGCTCCAGTAGCCTTGCTTCCTCATCACCTTCCTCACCATCACCATTTGGGATTTCTTCTGGAAGGAAAGGCCCATGGGATGCTCCAGTCGCAAGACCGCCACTGCTTTCCGCTGTCAACAATGGCTTCTTTTTTAAGGAAAGGAGGATAGATCGGATGTCCACCGAGACCACCTTTGCATCTCCACCACCATCACGTTCATCGGGGATTCAAAGGCCTGTCGGATTCCCCGGTGAGATCACCTTTCACCATCATCATCAACATCATCATCGTTCTTCGTGATTGATTGAAAACAAAGGGGATCCCAAACCTAGTACCTCCCTTCCCCAATGCAAAGCCCCCCTCTGCAGCGTCACCACCATCCCTTCTTCATTGTGATTCTTATCTAAGGGAGGGGGGCCCCCAAGGCCCCGCCGGTGCCTCTCTGCCTCCCACCTCTCTGATGAAAATGGAGCCGGATCTGCTCAGGACTCTGGCTGGTCCCGGGATGGTCCCACATCCAGACCCTTTGCTGGGTTTGGAGGCCAAGCGGCACCTCCTCCTGCTCCAAGAGCCCGGGCCGGACCTGGTGCATATCCTGCGCCTGAGGAGGAGGAAGGTGGGCGAGGAGGAGGAAGGCCTACGTTGCAGGGAAGAGGAGGAGGAGGAGGAGGAAGGCTTGGAGGCCCAGAAGCCAAGTGCTGAGCATCAGAGGAAGGACTCTATAGTTGTGGATTGGAGCCTTGGCCCGGCCTTGTTGCAAAGCCCCGAGGAAGGCTCAGAGGCCCAGGAACCAGATGCCGAGCATCAACAGGGAGACCTGCATCCCTCTTCAGCTGTGGATTGGAAACTGGGCTCAGCCTTGAAGCAAAAGCTTAAGGAAGAAGAGGAGGAGGAAGGATTGGAGGCCCAAGAGTCAAGTGTGGAGCATCAGAGGAAGGACTCTTTGGCTGTGGATTGGAGCCTTGGCCCAGCTTTGTTGCAAAGCCCAGAGAATTGCTTGAAGGCCCAGGAGCTAGATGCCGAGCATCAACAGGAAGACCTGCATCCCTCTTTAGCTATGGATTGGAAGCTGAGCTCAGCCTTGAAGCAGAAGCCTAAGGAAGAAGAGGAGGAGGAGGAAGGCTTGAAGGCCCCGGAGCCAGGTGCTGAGCATCAGCAGAAGAACTCTTTGGCTGGGGACTGGAGCCACAGCCTCGGCCCAGCCTTGTTGCAAAGTCTAGAGGAATGCTCAGAGGCCCAGGAGCCAGATGCCAAGCATCAACAGGAAGACTTGCATCCCTCTTTAGCTGTGGATTGGAAGCTGAGCTCAGTCTTGAAGCAAAAGCCTAAGGAAGAAGAAGAAGAAGAAGAGGAAGGCTTGAAGGCCCAGGAGCCAGGTGCTGAGCATCAGCAGAAGAACTCTTTGGCTGGGGACTGGAGCCACAGCCTTGGCCCAGCCTTGTTGCAAAGTCTAGAGGAATGCTCAGAGGCCCAGGAGCCAGATGTCAAGCATCAACAGGAAGACCTGAATCCCTCTTTAGCTGTGGATTGGAAGCTGAACTCAGCCTTGAAGCAAAAGCCTAAAGAAGAAGAGGAAGAGGAAGGCTTGGAGGCCCAGAAGCCTAGTGCTGAGCATCAGCAAGACTTTTTGGCTGTGGATCGGAGGCTTGGCCTAGCCTTGTTGCAAAGTCCAGAGGAAGAGGAAGAGGAAGAAGAAGGGGAGGAAGGCTCAGAGGCTCAAGAGCCAAGTGCTGAGCCTCAACAGGAAGACCTGCATCCCTCTTTGGCTGTGGATTGGAGGCTGAGCTCAGCCTTGAAGCAAAAGCCAGAGGAAGAAGAAGAAGAGAAGGAGGAAGGCTCAGAGACCCAGGAGCCAGGTGTTGAGCATCAACAGGAAGAGCTGCATCCAACTTTGGCTGTGGATTGGAAGCTGGGCCCGACCCTGCTGCAAAGCCCAGAGGAAGAAGAAGAAGAGGAGGAGGAAGACCAGGAGCCAGGTGCTGAGCATCAGCAGGATGACACCTTGTCTATGGATTGGAGGCTGGGCCCAGCCTTGAAGCAAAGGCCTGAGGAAAAAGAAGAGGAGGAGGCCCAGGGGCTAGGTGCTGAGCACCAACAGAAGTACCTGCAACCCTCCTTGGCTGTGGATTGGAGGCTGAGCTCAGCTTTGAAGCAAAAGCAAGAGGAGGAGGAGGAGGAAGGCTCAGAGAGCCAGGAGCCAGGTGCTGAGCATCAGCAGGATGACACCTTGGCTGTGGATTGGAGACTGGGCCCGGCCTTGAAACAAAGGCCTCAGGAAGAACGGGAGGAAGAAGAGGAGGAGGAGGAGACACAGGAGCCAGGTGCCGAGCACCAACAGAAAGACCTGCAACCCTCCTTGGATTGGAGGCTGACCTCAGCCTTGAAGCAAAAGCCAGAGGAAGGAGAGAAGGAGAAGAAGGAATGCTCCGAGGCCCAGGAGCCAAATGTCCAGCATCAGCAAAAGGACTCCTTTTCTGTGGATTGGAGGCTGGGCCTGGCCTTGAAGCAAAGCCCTGAAGAAGAGGAGGAAGAGGAGCTGCAGGTGGTGGCCTCCTTCTTCCGCTTGGTGGATGCTCAGAGTTTGCAACTGGTTGAAGGAGGCCTTGAAGAGGATGTTGAGGAGGAGGAGCAGGACTTGAGCCAAGCCTCTCTCCCAGCCCCTTCCCCAGACTCCCCTTGGACAGAAGCGATGGATCCCCCAAACTGCCAAGAGAGGCGGCGGCGGAGGGGCCGCCGGAGGCAAAAGAGCAGCAGCAGCCCCTCTTTGCTGGACTTGGCTCTGGCGGACCCCCAGTCAGGCTCTGCAATGGACCTCTTCCCCGCTGGCCCACTGTCCAACCCTAGCCTTGAGTTTGGTCAGGAAGAGGACCAGTGCTTGGCGGAGGAAGGCAAGGACTCCCCTTCCCCGGAGGAGGCCCCTCGGCTGCGGGCTGTCTTCGAGGCCCTGGACCGGGACGGGGATGGCTTCGTGCGTATCGAGGAGTTTGTCCAGTTTGCTACCGTCTACGGGGCAGAGCAGGTAAGGCTCCAGAGCACATGGCTCTGAGGTTGCAGTTGGCAAATTGGGTGTATTATCATCCTTCTGGATATGGATCTGCCTGTTCAGTGGTCGGGGATTCTGGGAGTTGGAGGGTCAAACAGCTGGAGGGCTGCTGCAGGTTGCAGAGGCTTGGTCAGTGGCAGGGTGGGCCAACTTCGGCCCTCCCTCCAGATCTTTTGGACTCCAACTCCCACAATTCCCAACAGCCAGTAGGCTGTTGGGAATTGTGGGAGTTGGAGTCCAAAACAACTGGAGGAAGGGCCAAAGTTGGCCCAGACCTGTGATAAAATATTCTGTACCCACAGCTCCATTCTCAGCTTTGTTGAGATCCTCCGGTGCAACTCTATCCTATTCTTGAACCAGAAGTCCTTCCTTTCAATAAGATTTGCTATTATTGGCTGTTTTGCCTATCCATGCAAAGTCTAGGAATGTGTATCTCTCTCTCACCCTACCCACAGATGTGGTGCCATACAGGGAGACCCCAGGTTATGAACAAGAGAGGTTTCTTCTTCAGTTTAATTTATTTGTAAGTCAGGACAGGGACATTTTTAAAGTGTAACTACAGCCAAAATGCATATCCTTTAGTTTTGGATAGCATGGAGAAGGGTCAATACCCCTTTGGGATTTACTTTGCTGCCTGTGGCCCGGTTTGGAAGATTTCACTTCACTTTCTCTTCCTGTGAGAATGGGATTTTGAGAAATGTGGCTTTTTGTGGAAACAAGGATTGGGATAAAGCTTCAGTGGAGACCCTGTTTTCCCTTGAACATAGCTCTCCCAGGAATGGATTTCCCTTCCTTCCAAGGGATAGATTTTTCTCACTTTGTCTCCCCTGTGTTCTTAACTAGGAGTTGTTTGTAAGTCGGAGATTTGTAACTCAGGGACTGCCTGTATATAATTTATATGCACACAAAGGCACACATGTGTCATATTGTTTTATATACATAGTCCCGTGTATCGTAAATGAGCGCATATCTTGTGTGTTCTGCGCAGTGATGTGTTTCTTATGTGCATGCTGGAAATTTGGGGCTGGGAGCTATTTCTGTAATTAGCAATGTTCTACTTTTGCTGTTGTGGTGCACTTGTGGTCCTCTTTCGACCATCGTTTCTATTGAGGTCAATGAGATTTGCATTTTTGGGGCCTTGCTTCCTGGAGCACAGAGTGCCAGTCCCCTGGTCTACAAATTGGGCTAGTTTTCTATATGCAAAGAATTCGGGGCCTGCTTTTATTTTTCTAAATAAAGAGGAACAATTCAGATATGCTGTCTTTCACCTGCAGGTTGAAGCACGTATCGTTCTCGCCTTGTTGTTATCATCATTACGGGTTGATACTTGTATTTAGATACAAGGTATGGTCAAATTTGGGCCCTCCAGGTGTTTTGGACTTCTACAATTCCTAACAGCCTCAGGCCCTTTCCTTTCCCCCCTCAGCCTCTTAAATGGAAAAGAAAAGGGAAAAGGAAGAGACCTGAGGTTGTTAGGAATTGTGGGAGTTGAAGTCCAAAACACCTGGCGCAAGGGGCAAAATTTTCCCATGCCTGACTTAGATGGTAAAAAATGGATGTTAATTTGCATTAGACACTTAAAGGACTTTCCTATCTTGTAGTCTTCACCCTTGTCTGTGTTTGCATGCATGCAGTGGTGCGGCTCCCCGTGGCTCCAAATTATATGGTAGCAATAGTAACATCTGCTTGGAAATTGATAGCTACTGTTGGGTTTCACCCCCTAGCTAACCTCAGTGTCATCTGAGCAAGAGAAATTGTGGAAAGCGAGGAAGCAGATGAGCTATTTTGGGATGACAGCGCCCAGAATCTCTGAGGCGGGGTTAGATCGGGAGGATTGTGTGAGTTGTAGTCCCCAAAACTCTTCCAAGCAGTGGAAGATTGACCCAGATTGGCTTCTTCCATCAAGGCTACTCTACCAATTAAATTATTGCCCAGAAAGGCTAACAGAGTCAGTTTAGTTGTGACTTGGCTTGATTGAGATCACCTGCTGTTTCTATTTGGCTGCCCAAAAGTTTGCTTTCTAGCAGCAAGGCCCAGCATTCTGCCACAGCTCCAAAGCACATTGCATTGTTGTGGTATTCATTCCAAAACATTTCTGAAAGGTTACTTTAAGGCAAACATTTCCTTTTTCAACCAAGCTTGTTTACCTACATTTGGGAACTTTCCTTTTTGTTGATACAAAACCAAACACAGCACGAATAGGTGCAGATTGGATGTGACCGCATATCTTTAAACCGCCCATTCACTTATGACTACCCCATGAAATTCATAGAGTTTTCTTAGGCAACAAAGAGATTTCATAGGGTTGTTGTGAGTTTTCCAGGCTGCCTGGCCATGTTCCAGAAGCATTCTCTCCTGCCATTTCACCTGCATCTATGGCAGGCATTCTCAGAGGTCTGTTGGAAACTTGGAAAAAGGGGTTTACATTCACACCTACCTCAAACGGATACGAGTTCTTTCTCCCACCCTGGACATCATTCCACAGATATATAAACCCCACTTGCCTAGTTTCCAACAGACCTCATAACCTCTGAGGATGCCTGCCATAGATGCAGGTGAAACGTCAGCAGAGAATGCTTCTGGAACATGGCCATACAGCCTGGAAGACTCACAAAAACCCAGTGATTCTGGCCATGAAAGCCTCTGACAATCATTTTCATTGGGTTGTTTTAAGTGGTGATTTGACATTTCCTTCCTCTGCAATATTCTCCTACGGCATATTCATTGGTAGTCTTCCATCCAAGTACTGACCAAGGCTTACCCTGCTTAGCTTTCAAGATCAGATGTGATCTGGTGCCCCTTTAGGGTATTTAGACTTTACTAAAAGTTATGTTTGTGGGCGACCCTTCGTAATAATAATAGCAATAATTGATTTATTACCTGCCTCTCCCAATGTCAAAAACATGCAAACATTATACAAAAAATTACACAGATTAAAAAAAAACACACAATATATATATATAAAACTTTTTGCACCATATATATTTCACAGATACAGATTTGACATATGCTAGCAATAGAAGGTAACATGTAATATATAAAAGTAACACGTAGAAGAACACGTTTCATAGTGTCTCATTTCTTTTTCCATTAATCCATCCAAATCAAATGAGGAGGACCTTAAGGAGATTCCATCTGAACATTAGGAAGAACTTCCTGACTGTGAGAGCCGTTCACCAGTGGAATTCTCTGCCCCAGAGTGTGGTGGAGCCTCCTTCTTTGGAGGCTTTTAAACAGAGGCTGGATGGCCATCTGTCAGGGGTGCTTTGAATTCAATATTCCTGCTTCTTGGCAGGGGGTTGGACTGGATGGCCCATGAGGTCTCTTCCAACTCTATGATTAAGATGTAAACGTACTATTAGCTTCATCAATTGTACCAGAAAATGTGTAGACCAGGTGTGGGCCAACTTCAGCCTTCCCTCCTGGTGTTTTGGATTCCAGCTCCCACAATTCCTAAAGCTTACCGACTGTTGGAGTCCAAAACACCTGGAGGGAAGGCCAAAGTTGGCCCTCACCTGGTCTACAACTTCCAAGAATATGTACGTCTCTCTTGTTTTTCTGACCGCACTTCCTGCTAACTTCCTGTCACTGTAGCCAATGTTGGGGATGATAGAAGGTGCTGCTTTAAATGTTAGGAAGGCTCTGTGTTTCCCATGCATATTAAAGGTGACGTGATGGAAGTGCAACCCATTACATTCTGCAGTTTCAGCTGCTCCCTATGGCCCTGAATCAGAGAATAATGTGTTTCTCCAGCCGGATTGGCTCCCGAATGTGCTTACTTGCCTCTTTCCTTTGTGGCTCTTCTGCACGGACGGCTGGCCAGGAGATATGTGCCCAGAAAACTTGCTCCTTTGTGTCTCTGTTATCTTAACCCAAGATCATCCTGATCAAAGCAGCACAGAGTTTCCCCACTGGCATCTTTAGTGTAACATGAAAGGGAGACATTGTTTGATGGTTGACAGGCAGGGAAATGTGTAATATCTTTTCCCGTCTGGTCATTCTCCCTTGGATACACCTCAAACCATGCCTGTTTCTTCCCAGTCTGATTAGCTGCACACTGGGGGTGTTATATTCACCACGTGGTTTGTCCCATAAATCTCTTCCCTTATCTCTACTTAAGTAAACTCCCCTTGCGGCTGTTTTAAAGCCCACATTTGTATTTCTTTCCATGTATCCAAATGCCAGCCTTCCTTTTTAAACAAATTATTCATTATTTTCTTCCCAGATACCATTCAATAACTTGGCCATTTGAAAATATTTTAATAACTTCTCTCTCTCTCTTTTTTTTTTAAATAGATCTTTTTCACTTTTCCATGATTTTGCTGTTGTCAATCTAGCTCAGGTTTGGGCAGACCCTTGATCATCTTTCTCTGGACACATTCCAGCTCAGAGTCAGCATCTCTGAATATAATATATAATATAAATACAGTGAACAAATAAATAAATAAATAACAAAAGTGTCCGTCCCCCCCCCCCCCCCCCCCCCCCCCCCCCAAAATATATATTTGCTATACCTGTATTTGCATGTACATCATAATGAGATATCTTGGAGATGGGACCCAGGTCTAAACAATACATTTGTTTTGTAAACACCTTATACACAAAGCCTGCAATGTTAAATAAATACATTCACGAAATGACACTATATACATTGAAGTACTGCTATCTCAGGCACCTATGTGGGCAGTTTTGGATTTTGGAGTATTTGGTAATTCAGTGTTCTGGAGAAGGGTGCTGGGTTTGCTTTTCCTGCATGAAGGCAGAAGGGGGTTGGACTGGATGACCTTTGGCGTCCTCTTCCCACTCTAAGATTCTATGATTCTGTGTTTGCTTCCTGAAGCCCCACAGCTGCAGGTGCCCATTTGGATCCATTTTTGCTACATTGACAATTTTACTAATATTTTGAACCATTGGTGTGACCTTTGCAGAAAGTCACCTTGTTGCAGGTTAAACCTGCTGTGCCGTGTGATGTAATC